CATTTGCCTCACATTACTGAAATTTACTGATTCAATATGCATTCGCTTTGCAGAATTCTCCAAGTTCTGGGTTGTGTCTGAGTAAATGTGCCCCCTTCCCTCTATTATCAGGTTATTTGATTAAATGTGTTTCTTTTATTCATTTAAAACTTTCCTTAGAATTTTATGTTACCACTACCTCTTCCTGGGAAAGAGGTGGGTTCCCCTACCAGCAGCTGATTGTCTTTCTGAAGTACCACAGGCACACTCCCACATGGGGGAACAGGACAGTGGAAGAGGGGAACTAAGGGACTTCTCAAACCACTGTTTTTCCTCAAACAGGCCTCTCATAACCTTCATAACAATGATGTCTATCAAAATGGGAATGCCAGCTATGCCGTGACTTAAAAATGATTATCTTTAAAATAAATCCTTTTCACTTCACATTGGCAATGCTTGCTGCACTCTTAAATAATCTGATCATATCTCAGGGACCTGTAGTAACATCTCCAATTGTACAGCGTAAGCCAAAGTCAAATGTGGTGTACAAATTCATAGTACAGACACGTTTCCCAGGACCCAGCCCCTTGCTATTAGGAAGTGAAAGGCTCCCGTAAGGAGGGCGCTGAGGTTGTGTAGGGCAAATTTTCAAAGTCTTCCTGAAGTAGGTGCCCAGAGAAGAAGTGAATCCAGGAGTCCAGTTCCATAGAGGAGAGGCTCTGAAGAGCTGGGAGGAGCTGAAAAGAATAATTCCAAGAGCTTTAATTACCTCTTTCCCACAGCCACCCCACCCCCACCTTTCAATATCTCTTCAAGTGGGGTCATTATGGAAAGAAGGTACAAGAGGCAATATCATGAAATGGGGCTCCACTGGCTGTAACAGCAGAGGTTCCCTTGGGCCTTTGTCTTTGGCTGGGATCCCCATTGCTCTGAGCAGTGAGAATGGAATGTTCTTGGGATGAAAAGCCTACCCCCCCCCCACCTTTCCCCTTATGGAGTTCCCTAGGGCCTGTTCCAGGGATTCCTGATATGGGGATGTTCTAGAGGAGCATAAGGCCCACACTGCCCAGGGGGTTGTCCTGGCAGTCTCTCCTCCCCTAGGCAGGTTGGCTCTATCACTTACAAATCTCCACTATGTGCTAGGCAATTCCTGTGACTTCTCATTTAATTCTCAAAAGTTATCTCCTTCCTAACTCTTCTCAAAAATACAAAACAAATAGAAGAAACTGGTTCAGAAAAGGGAAGCTGAGAGGTTCCAAGCTAGGCCTGTCATGGTCTACCTGGATCCCTTTCAGCTCCTACCAGGGAGCATGTCACCATCCTTCTCTACCATCCCAGGCTCTTTGCTCTCCTTGACACCAAACTTTACAGCCCAGATTTGCAGGGAGAGGAGACAGTCCTCCAAAGCAGACCCTTGGGAGGGCTGAGCCCTGAGCATCTTTGACCCACCCTCACTAGAAGCCAAGAGTGTTAACTCAGACTGACACATACCCTTTCCCCAGGGCCCAATCAGGCTGAGCTGTGCCCAGACAGGAGCAGGGAGGGTTCTGCCAACCTACTGGCATCTCATCACATCCCTCCCCAGAATTGAGGACTAGTAGTCACTATATGCAGCCTTGAAGATGGAAGCCCAAATGGAGCCTTCATGAGCCTGATGAATCACCACATAGCCTAATATTTAAGGGATCTCCCATATATAGGTTCTGTCTTTGGGCAAGTCACCTGCCTTCCCAGACTTTGCTTCCTTATCTGAGGATATGGGGATAATAACCCTTACTTCATAGAGTGGTTGGGAGGGCTGAACCAGATAATGGGTGTAAAGTGCTTAGCACAGTGCCTGGCATCAAGGAGGTGGTTAATTAATACATTATGCCAGAACCAAGGGTTCCCTTACATGATAACTCCTGGCTAGGGTGTGGTCAAGGACTAATGGGGGAAAGAAATAGGCTGGGGACTTCCAGGCTTTCCCAAATACTACCTCCCTTGTTGACCATAGGGCAGGGAGCCTCTCCTTCAGCTCTGAGAAGCCTGAGCACCAGAGTTAGTCTACAAACTTGTCTGAAAGGGTCAGGGAAGGGGATCCTCCCAAATAATGCAGGCTTAGAGCACCTAAGCGGTGTCCTGTCACTTCAGCCTAATCTTTAGGAGGCAACCTTCATCACCACGAGCAGCAGACCTGGTGTTCTGACCAGTTAGGTGTAACAAATCTGTGAATAGAGAATGACTCTAGTCTTTTACTGACAGTGACTACCACCAGGGGCAACCTCTCTTTCCTGGAAGTCTTTCTTGATGGACCTTCTCCTTGGGGTTCACGGCTTGACCCAGCCAGACTGGTCCCCTTTCCAAGAGGACTTCCACCTCTAGGGAGCCAATGATGGGTGCATCTCAGGAGCCACATGCCCACTGTTGCACCGAAATGACTCCCAGATCCTTAACAGCTCAAGGCCTAGAAAGCCCCAGGACAACAGGGAAGGATGATGATTGGGGACAGGAACAATGAGGACCAAAATTGCTCCAGGCCACGCCCTCAGGTCTTGAAAAGCAGCCCCACACTGCCATCTGGTGGCCTACATAGTGGTTACCCAGGTAACAAGCAGGTCCCCGATCAGACCCTGAACTAGTCTCCCAGCCCCAGGGAGCAGCCTGAAAAAAGGCCCCTGTTCCTTTCATTTCCTTTTGTTGAGATCCCAGACTCACTAGTAGTCATCAATGTTCTCAGTGCACAAGTCCCCCTAAAATCCTCGTACTCCATCCTGTCCTCAGGATTGGGGGCCATCAAGAAAGTGTTCCACAATACCAAAAAAAAAAAAAA